ACAGTTTTCCCAGGGCTGCCCTGGCTCCTGGAGGAGCTTTAATATCCCAACCCCTTCCATGAATCCCATAAAGTAAAGAATTCCATGATCCCTGTGATCCCAGAGTGGGATCACCCCGTGCTGGGAGCGCCCTGAACCCCCTCGGGATCCTCGGGAAGGCCCCACGGGGTGGAGAATCCCGGATAATCCCCACCCTGGGGCCTTTCCCACCCTGATCCCATGGGAATTGTGGGAATTGTGTCCATCCCAAACAGGGGGTGTCCCAGCTCCTCCAAATTCCCCCCCAGAATGGGAGGGAGTGCCCTGAACCCCCCAGGATCCTCGGGAAGGCCCCACACGGTGACTCCATGGGGTGAATAATCCTGGATAATCAGCACCTGGAGTGTTTTCCCACCCTGATCCCATGGGAATTGTGCCCATCCCAAACAGGGGGTGTCCCAACTTCTCCAAATTTCCCCCCAGAATGGGAGGGAGCGCCCTGAACCCCCTCGGGATCCTTGAGGACTCCATGGGGTGGATAATCCTGGATAATCCTGGATAATCACCACCTGGAGTCTTTTCCCACCCTGATCCCATGGGAATTGTGGGAATTGTGTCCATCCCAAACAGGGGGTGTCCCAGCTCCTCCAAATTCCCCCTTAGAGTGGGATCATCCCATGCTGGAAGAGCCCTGAACCCCCTCGGGATCCTCGGGAAGGCCCCACGGGGTGGAGAATCCCGGATAATCCTGGATAATCCCCACTCCGGGGCCTGTCCCGGCCCAATCCCGAGGGAAGGGTGGGAATGGTGTCGGTTGGTCCCGCAGGAGGTGGCGCAGGTGGCGGAGGGGGGGCTGTGCCCGCCGGGGCGCTGTGCCCTGCTGGCCCTGGCGGCCGCCTACCTCAACATCATCGCCCAGATGCTCGCCCTGCCCGCCCTCTGCCAGCACGTGCACCAGGTGAGAACGGGGAATGGGAATGTGGGAATGCCGTGGGAATGTGGGAATGCCATGGGAATGTGGGAATGCCGTGGGAACATCATGGGAACATTGTGGGAATGTGGGAATATGGGAATGTGGGAACACCATGGGCAAATGGGAACAGCTGCTCGCCCTGCCCGCCCTCTGCCAGCACGTGCACCAGGTGAGAGCGGGAAATGGGAATGTGGGAATGCCGTGGGAATGTGGGAATATCATGGGAACACCGTGGGAACATCGTGGGAATGTGGGAATACGGGGACATGGGAAAACGGGAACGTAGTAACATGGGAACTCCATAGGAAAATGGGAACATGGGAACATTGGGGGAAAATGGGAAAAGAGGAACACGGGAACTTGGGAAAATGGGAAAATTGGAACATGGGAAAATGGGAACTTGGGAAAATGGGAACATGGGAACATGGGAAAACGGGAACATGGCAACATGGGAAAATGGGAACACAGGAAAATGGGAACATGGGAACATGGGAACATGGGAATATAGGAACATGGGAAAATAGGAACATGGGAACATGGGAAAACGGGAAAACAGGAATATAGGAAAATGGGAACTTGGGAACATGGGAACATAGGAACATGGGAAAATGGGAATATGGGAAAACGGGAAAACAGGAACACAGGAAAATGGGAACACAGGAAGAGGGGAACACCGTAGGAAAATGGGAGCACGGGAACACGGGAACACGGGAACATCATGGGAAAATGGGAACACGGGAAAATGGGAACGTGGAAAATACAGGAACACGAGAACACCACGGGAACATGAGAACACCATGGGAATGTGGGAAAATGGGAACATGGGAACTCCATGGGAAAATGGGAATGTGGGAAAATGGGAATGTGGGAAAATGGGAACATGGGAATGTGGGAACACCATGGGAAAATGGGAACACCATGGGAAAATGGGAACATGGGAATGTGGGAACACCACGGGAAAATGGGAACATGGGAATGTGGGAACACCATGGGAACATGGGAAACTGGGAACATGGAAATGTGGGAACATGGGAATGTGGGAACACCACGGGAAAATGGGAACACGGGGAAAACAGGAACATGGAACACGGGAAACTGGGAACACAGGAACATCTCGGGAAAACGGGAACACGGGAAATTGGGATCACGTTTGCGGTTGGGTTGGGATCTCATCCGTCGCCGGGTGTTCCAGGTGATCCAGGCCCGGCAGAAGGAGGCCCCGTTCCTGCTCCCCGAGGACGTGTTCGTGGAGAACCCCCGGTGAGAGCCCCCACACTCTCATTCCCAGGGAATTCCCACGGAATTCCCAGGGGAGCTGTGGCTGCCCCTGGATGATCCCTGCAGTGTCCCAGGCCGGGCTGGATCCCCTGGGATAGCGGGAATTGTCCCTGAACATGGAATGGGATGATCCTGAAAATCCCTTCCCACCCAAACCGTTCCGGGATAAAGGACACTCAGGATCCACTCAGAGGGGTTTTTATGGAATGTGGGGATGGAAAAGACGAGTTTTTTCCCAGTTTATCCATTGGTTTATTCCCGGTTTTCCATAGGCCGATCCTGAGCCTGGATCAGCTGGGCTGGGATCTCCATGGAGATCATTTATTCCTGGTTTATCCATTGGTTTTTTCCCAGTTTATCCACTGGTTTATTCCCATTTTTCCATAGGTCAATCCCGAGCCTGGATCAACTGGGCTGGGATCTCCATGGAGATCATTTATTCCCAGTTTATCCGTTGGTTGATTCCCAGTTTATCCATTGGTTGATTCCCAGTTTATCCATTGGTTTTTTCCCTGTTTATCCATTGGTTTATTCCTGGTTTATCCATTGGTTTATTCCCAGTTTATCCATTGTTTTTTTCCCAGTTTATCCATTGGTTTTTTCCCAGTTTGTCCATTGGTTTATTCCCAGTTTTCCATAGGCCAATCCCGAGCCTGGATCAGCTGGGCTGGGATCTCCATGGAGATCATTTATTCCCGGTTTATCCATTGTTTTTTTCCCAGTTTATCCATTGTTTTTTTCCATTTTTCCATAGGCCGATCCCAAGCCTGGATCAGCAGGGCTGGGATCTCCAAGGGTGTTTATTCCCGGTTTTCCATAGGTGGATCCCGAGCCTGGATCAGCTGGGCTGGGATCTCCATGGAGATCATTTATTCCCGGTTTATCCATTGGTTTATTCCCGGTTTATCCATTGGTTTATTCCCGGTTTATCCATTGGTTTTTTCCCAGTTTATCCACTGGTTTATTCCCGGTTTATCCATTGTTTTTTTCCCAGTTTATCCATTGGTTTATTCCCAGTTTATCTATTGGTTTATTCCCGTTTTTCTGTAGGCCGATCCCGAGCCTGGATCAGCTGGGCTGGGATCTTCATGGAGATCATTTATTCCTGGTTTATCCATTGGTTTATTCCCAGTTTATCCATTGGTTTATTCCCGGTTTTCCGTAGGCCGATCCCGAGCCTGGATGAGCTGGGGCCGGAGTTTTTCTTCTGGCAGAGCAAGATCAGCGAGGGGCTGGGAGGGAGCGGATACAGCCTGGAACGGCTCAGCATTCCCTACGTCCCACAGCTCACCGGTGGGAATGCCCTCGGGATAACCCTGGAGAGGGACAGGGAGGGAAAATATCCCGGTTTTCCATGGAGTGACAGGGATAATGGGGGGGGGGGGGGGGGGGGGG